CGGGCGTCGGGCTGTGTTAACTCAGCCTACGAGATAACCTAGCGGTGAGACGCAAGGGCCAGAGCACCGTTCTTCCCTGACTCCCCAGTAGTGCGGCTCGAATCTTCTAAAGCTGCCAGTTGCCAAATGAAATCTGAAACCCTGGGCTGCGTCTGAGGGTTGGCCCTGCTCAGTTGTTCCAGCCTCTTGTACTGTATATTTACACATTCACACACAATCACTCTTTCTAACTTCTGGGACTCTTTGCGCAACTGCTAGGATTTCTCAAGTGCATGTGGCAACTCAGCCCAGCTCCGGGGGAAACCGGCGGGACTCCGGAGGGTCTCCAAGGCCCGGGGAGCTGTCAGGACTGCTTCGGGGACAGGAGAGGATCGAGACGTGGGCAGTGGTGGGGGGAAACACCCACAACTTTCCACCCCAGCTGCAGCTCTTTCGGCCGCTGCGTATTTCCTCTGAAACCACAGCTGCTGAGCAACCAAGTGTATGGGGCACAGCACGTCCCCTTGTTGTGGGAAGTAAAGTAGCTTTCCCTCCTCTCTTTTTTCTTTTCCCTTTCCTTCGGCTCGTCCTGGGAGCCTTTCCTTCCAGAGCAGCCGCAGTCCGGTGTCCGTCGAGTGCTCCGAGCGGGGTAGGTGACGCTGCGCGGGGGTGTGCGCCGGGGCCACCGCGGGAGGCTGAGATAGCCGAGGCGGCGCTCGGGGGCTGCCGGCACAGCTGCCTGCGACAGGGAGGGGGCTGCTGGGGGCGAGGAGGGATCGCCGGAATCCCATGCTGGTGCTGTGTGTGTGTGTGTGTGTGTGTGTGTGTGTGTGTGTACGCGCGCGCGCTCGGGGCAGTCGCGCTTGTGTGTGTGTTGAGAAACAATGTTCTTATTTTTAAAAGGAAGAAAAGGCGTAAATGGTAGTATGTATTTCTGTCGTAAAAATAGATGGAATTAATAAAAACTGTGCAGTTCAGCTCCCTTGCTATCCATCCTTCCTTCTCCCACCGCGCCTCCCGTTTGTTTCCCCTAGTGTCTTATGAGAGATTCCTAGATAACAGGCATACAGAGGTAGGTTTTAATAATGAACACTTTTATTGCAAACATAAAATGATAGGGAATCTTTGGTGAATTTTAAGCCACCCAAAAGAATCTAGATTTTTTAAAAAAACTTTCTGAAGATGTATCCATCCTCTCTGAAATATAAATATATAATTTATTCTCATTAAAAAATACTTCAGACTGTATTTCTTTTTAAGTTGACCAATTAGAAGGGGAGATAATATTACTCTTGGAATAATATTTCTTAGCGATACTAGGTTTCAATACTAACTAGTAATAGGGAATCCAGACTCCCTTGTAGTTAAAATATGAATTAAATGTTTCTTTAATTCATTCGAATTAAAAGATAATCTCCAAACTATTTCTCTTTCTATCATAGCTTTTGTTATTCTTTTTTTTTTTTTTAACCTTAGCAAGACATCATCATTTGATCTCTTTCTAAAAAAAGGAAATAAATCATGCTGGGTATTTTAAATAAAAAAGTTGTAAGGCGTTTGCATATCCATAAGTAAAACAATATGTGTTGCTGTGTCTACTAAGGAAGACAAATTAATTGAAATCCAGGGATATTTACAGTACAGTTAAGAGCTTTACTCAATTACTGAGAAGATGGACAGACAGATTAAATACAAACAATCTGTCCCCTGATTTTAATTAGAACTGAAAACCAACCCTTAAGGGCAAGAATGGATGTTGGTATTAAGTTGGGCATCATAAAACGCAGGGAATTAATATATTAGAAAAAGCCAGAAAACAAGTATAAAGCCACATCAGACTTGTTAAGATCTCGGTCTCCCTTTTAAATTTCTTAATACTTCCTCTTCTCTGGGGACATTTCAACTTCTAAGAGAGCCTAACAATACAATTCCCCTTTTTGTCTTTCTTGAGTGCCTGACCTTCAGGTAGCAAGTCAAGAAATCTGTTCTTTAGATCCATTACTGACTTGTCAGAGAAGTCACCTTAGACATCTTGGAAGACCGAGATATTGACAAAACTTTAAAGTAAATAACATTCTCCTTCCACTCAGATGTGTTCTTGGTGGAAGACCTTTCAGTGATTGGAATAAGGGATAAACTATGAGTTGTTCAGATCTGGAATTTAGTTTGAGGTATGTGTAAGGAATATACAATAGTCTGATAAAAGGAAGGAGATTCTGTAATTTTTTTCTACATCTGAAAGGCTGTTGAAACTCAGTCTGTCCTTGGCTTTCAACTGTATTATTTTGTTTTATTACTTAATCATAGGTATTTGGAATTGAGAGGTGGATGGTCTCTCAGTAGTGTTCTTTTGGGCTGTATATACTGGTGAATTTGAACCGTTTTGAAAATAAAACTTGATAATAAGTGAGGAAGAACTAAGTTCTCAAGAAAAAAAAATCACTGCAGAACAAATAGCACTGTACCCTTCCAGACAAGAATGGTACATTTAAGTGTAAAAGTGAAAAAGTGTTCTGAGCTTAAATCTCCAGTGAAATCTTTTCAGGTTTTGCTTGGTATAGTAATGGCCACAGCTCTGGGAGTTTTTACTGGTCATGGCTTCATTTACTGTGTGATCTTGGACTCTCTAGGATGGAGTTTAGGGGTTAAGGGAAAGGGCAGGAAGGGTAAAGAATGTGCAACAGGTGGTAATAAGTGGTTTGAGTCTGATTACTTTGCTGTCTTGGCCAAAGCCTATTTAGTGTTTACCAACAGTGCCCTTAGTAGTTTTGTTGTGACCTACTGGCCCATTTAAGTGCATTTTCTTTCTGGCTCTGTTAGTGTCTGGGTTGGTTTCATAGGGCTAAAAGCAGGCAGAGCTGCTGCAAAATCCAGACCATGGATTTTGTTTCTGTTTTTAGTGTTTGCAGTACTGTAGGACCATCTTACCTACCTGTAGTTATTTTCCTGTGGCATTTTCAGGCAGGTGGTAAAGGGTTCTTTTCCTATGAGTTGAGCTTACATAATGCTGATCGCTTCTTTCTGCCATGTGTCAAGTTTTGGTAATGGTGAGTGTTTTGGAAAAACAAGAGGGAGAAGGTGGCTAGAGCCTCACCTTGGAGTCCAGTGGAAGGGACAGCCCCTCAATTAGTCACACATGGGCATGGAGGAGGTTAACGATAACAAGAACCTGGGGCATCCTTTCTACAATGGTCATATTTTACTGAGAAAAAAAGCATAAGAGATTTAAAATCCAAAGATACTTGTTTATTCTTTAATCCATGGCTGAAGGATTAAGATTTCTCCCAGATGGAAAAAGGTATTTAAAAATAAAATTGGAAATAGTCAACTTAGTCATGAAGTTAATGCTCTTCATGTGAAGAGTTGGAGCCTCAGATTGAGTCTGGAAATGGTGACCCATCTGTCTTCATTACTCAGACTCAAACTTTATAAGATTATGATGGTTTCAGCGGCTAAGTAAAAGCACATTTGGACGTGGGGAAATTGTTCTGGTGAGATTCAAGGAATGTTCAGTTTTCAGAGGTTATTGTGTACATATGTGCTTTAAAGCAGCATCTACACTGAACTGTGGCAATGCTACAATTAACCTTTATAAAGGGCAAATCTAATTGTGTCAATCCCTTATTCTAAAACCTTTGATGGATCCCAGGATCCCAACAACCTACAGCATTAACTTTAAACTCTTCAATATAGTGACTAAAAGCTTTTCAAAACCCTTCCTTTTTAGCTTCTCTTTCCTGCACAATGGCTCCTCATTGTTCACACTTTTGATTTTTTTTGCTAATGGATCTCCTTTCTCCAGGAATTCCCTTTGCCTGGAAAGTCCCACTTGATTCTTGGTGGTCCATTTCAACTGGAACTTCCTTTGGGAGAATTTACGCAATTCTATGTAGAAATAATTCATCATTTCATCTTGTCTGCTTCCGTGGTGTTTTGAACATGCTTTCAATAGTTTTTAAAATAATTTTTATTTTTGAAACATTACTACCAACCAACTACAGTGTGTTCGTTTATAGGTATATTGGTGGTGGGGGACCCACTTGTATCCTAGTGTCCAGCCCAATGACTGAAACATATAGTAGACACATGTTAATGTTTCCTTAATAAATGGGCAAGCAAAGTTGTGAATGAATAAAGTACTAGTGGACTCCGATTTATGCAGATAATTTTTTCCCCAAAGGTCCCATTTGAAAAATATCTATTTGGACTCAGAGTTTACTTTCCAAAAGTAACAAGGCAACAAACATAATTCACTTTCTAGACCTGCCCACACATGCCTATTTAATTCTATAATAGATGAAATTTGTGCTTTTGAAATTATAAAGCAAAAGCAAAACAAAATGAAAAACTACTTGGAATCATCTTTTTCTTTTGAAAATCACAAAGTACTCTTGAGTTTAAAGGTAATAGAAACACTTATAATAGATACACATTTTTCACCGTTGTTTTTTATATTGTACTATGAAATCTGTAATTGATCAAATCCCAGTGGGAGGTCCTGGATTTGGCTGTGAGGAGTAATAATAGAGTTAAATTTGGAAATCCTGTTGCCTGTAGATGGGCAATAATTTTAATTAATCAAACAAAATAGAAATACTAATTTTGGCTATTTAATAATTATCTTGAGTGCTAGTGCCTGAAGGAAGTTGGATTTAATTAAAGGAGAATGTGGAGGTGGCTGGAGAGGAGGAAATTCAGAGGGGCATCTTTTTTCATGTTACTGATTTTTTTTTAATTTCTTTTCATCTCATTTGAACACTTTGGCAAACCAGTGTTTCCTTTTGAAAAAAATTCCTATTCTACAGTTATTTCTGCTGCCTGACATGTAGAAGGAGGTTGTTCTCCATTTCAGCCGAACTACAAATTGGCTTATTTCATTTTCAGAGCAGTGATACCTCTGTTACTTGCATACTTCTTCTGTTTAGCACAGGGATCATTTTTCAATCAAGAATGCATAATACTTGTGCTTTAGGCACCAGCCAGGGACCTTAAGGTCAAGTTGTTCCTTATATAGTATATCTGAGAAGACTGAAAGAGCAAACATTCGTATTTCAGAGTAATAGTCTACTTTATTTCTACTCTAAATCTTCCACGCTCTCTATTTTTATCAAAGCGTATGACCAGAAGTTTACCTGTCCCACTCACATTACAACACCTTTTGGTTAGGTTGTCTTCATCACACAGTCCTTTAATGTAGCGCTCTATTTCTTTTTACTGAGAGTCAGCATAAAAGAGGCTGCATGGAAAATATTTTGGCACTTTTTGTTATGTATTCCCATAGTCTTTAGATAAGGATCTCCATAAATTAGTTTTTGCTTTTACTGCTTTAAAAAGTGTTGCTCTTCTGATTAGCTAGTGTTGTTTCTTTTGTTAGAAGAAAAGAGAATAAGAAATCACCATGTTTCTCATGTTGGCTTGTCACCCAAGAAGCTCACCTAATGTAACAAGAAAATCAGAACAAACTTTGATGCTCAGTTGTACCCTGGTCAATCTTCTTATGACACAGTTTGCATCCTTCTGGCCCTATTTTTATGCACCTATCATACCCATACCCTTTAACTAAATTAACTCAAATCCATTATGGAAATAGATTGAATTGCCTTCCTTGTGTGTGTGTGTGTGTGTGTGTGTGCGTGCGTGTGCGTATTA